GGAGCCCGGGCGCCCGTGGGCACGGACCTCCCCAGGGGCATCGCTTGTTCTGGCGCTGGGAGCAGGCGGGGATCCTCTTCCCCGGTTCTGGAGGGTTCTGGAGTTCCTTTCCCCGGGTTCGGTGGGGACCTCAGCCCCAGGTAACCCCCTCTCCATCAGCATAGGGATGCGACCCACCCACCGTTCTGCCTTTAAGTGACAGAGGAGGACTTGGCCCAGCGGTGACGGAGCTGGAGTCACCAGACCTGAATGAAGAATGTCTCATTCTGAAGGGCTGGTGGTTCTGCAGCGTCCCCCGCGGAGACTGGAAGATCTGTACGGAGCATTCAGCTGGTTTTGCCAATTTTTGTTACTTTCTATGAAACTGCAACTTTTTTAAAAGAGCCTTTTCTTAAAATCTCCTTGATCTGCTGGGCAGTGCCTGAGCCTGGCCGTTTGACATCGGCGTTCCCAGAGTTTGCAGTGACATGTGATGCGGGTTGGTGACAGCAGTGGCCTAGGCACATTGGCTTCATCGCCCTTCCGCCCTTCCAGCCTCAATGGCAGCAGGTCAAGTGAGTTCAAACTGGTCTTGTCGCATTACAAAGCCTGCGTTAAACCATTGCTTTCTCTTTTGCCATTAATTTTGCAAAACAGTGACTTACTACTTCACTGGGTTTTATTCTTTTCTCTGCACGTGAACGGCTGCTCTCGTCTCTGACCGTCAGCACCGGTGGGCACGGGGCGAGCTGGCGTCGCTGGAGCATGGCAGCACCTCTGCTCTCAGAGCTTGCTGTTGCGTGCGTTTCTGTATCTCTCTTTTTTAAGCTAACAATGAGGTGTATTTATTTCAGTTCAGGTTGTGTTTAGAGCTGGCTGATCTCTCCCTCTGATGGATTATTTATTAAACTGCTGCTTTCCTGTTGTGTTGAAGTTCTCTGTGCTCATCCTTCTCCCCCGCCGGTGTCAGACGACGCCTCTGCCCAGCCCTTGTCTCAACCCGTGAATGTGCCAAAGGGGTTGTTACAGGAGACGACACATCTCCAACGGGCACAAGTTGTTATTTCTACCAATTCCTTAAAACTATTCTAGAGCAAGACATCCTTGGAACCCATTCCTGTTCACCCCTGATCCTCAGCTCCCCAGGTTTCCACGGGAGGATTAAAATAGACCCTCGGCAGCTCAGGCTCCGGTGCTGAGGCACAAAACGTTCTGAGCCCTGACCCTGCTGCTTGTCGCACGGGATGGGGCCGAGTGCTCGTGCAGGAGGTGGTTTTGGGGCAGTTTTGGGCAATATTGACAATATCGGGCCAAGCAGGGAGTGGCAGAACGCCTGCCAGCGCCTGCCCTGCGGAGCCTCCTCTGGGGCTGGTGTCAGCGTCCTGCACTCTGGTGTCTTTGTTTCCAGCTAGGCTTCATTTAGATCTTATCTTGCTCATTTAAACACTTCTTCTGGTGTTTGAGGATGGTACTAAGTGAACAATATAGTGACAAGAAGTATAAACACAGCCAGGGCAGCTCTCGGATGGGATCTGGTGTTTGATGGCCGATATCCGGGAATGCGCTGGAAGCACAACTCATTTGTGTCATCATTGCCTTTTGTATCTATTTCACCTGAACTTGAGCTTTGTTTTGGGTTTTTTTGTCGTTATTTGAGAAAGAGCCCTGGGCTTGTCTCATTTGGCACCTCTCTGGAGGCAAAGGGACAGTATTTCAGTGCAGCAGAGCGCTGGCTGTCCCCCCCTTGGCGCGCTGGCCGTGGGGGCAGCGCTGTGATGGGGACACTGCACCGGGCAAGGGGCAGAGCAGGGCTGCGGGACGAGCCCCCGGGGGGAGATTCCTGTATTTTGCACCAGGCAGAAAACCTTCACCTTGTCCCAGCCGTTAGTGCTCCTCCAGCCCCCTCATTTCTTGTGCCAGCATTAGCGGTGCCGGTGATGACAGCCCAGGGCTACAGCCCGGCCCGAGGGGCTGCGGCAGCGCGGGGGTGTCCTGTGCCTGGGCCGGCACGGGTCCCTCGGGGGTTTGTCCCTCTGCCCTGAACTGGTTTTGTTTCCTGAGAAACGCCCCTGGACCCTGCGTTGCCCTGCGGTAGCCCCCCGCTCCTGCCCCTCCGGAAGAACCGCGATCGCTACCAGGAAAAGTGCTCGGGCTCCTGCTCCTTGAAAACCTTTGCCTTTGTTCCCTTTGCTCTGACCCGAGAGGTTTCCTGTGGGGTGGAAAACTCTCCCGATGCTCAGCTGGCTCGTTCTTCCCGGCGCCTGCAGCCTGCTGCTCTCCTGGCCGTGCTCGGGGCGGGGGAGCTGCCTGGGTGCCCCCCGGGTGGAGGGAGGGTCCGTGTCCTGTCCTCGGGTGTCCCGGGCTCACTGCCGGGAAGAGCCCGGCCGGGGCCGTGGCTCCCCCCACGCC